TCGAGCAGAATATCAGGACGTTCAAACTGGCAAAAAACAAACACCCAGTAAGTCTTACATAACGTTAATTGAAAGGGAAAAAGCACCACCAACACAACAATATGCCACAGCCACAAGCATCATACAAATCTATAAGGATAGACTTGAAACAATGAAACAACAGCCGGCTTGTTGCTATACAAGCAGTAATGCCACACAAACTCTCCCACTTGAAATGACTTGATATCCATTCTACTCTCTCTATAACAACCAATCAATTCAAATTGATTATTAACCCACGGCCGGCAAAGCCCACCAGACCAATGTAACATTACGTTGCCATGGTGACCAAGAACCACACGATAGAAGAAAACTATGACATCAAGTTTGCAGGCAATCAATAATGGTTTCCAATAAATCTTTCATAGCCCTTTGTTCTTACATTCCCTCTCTACTCGTGTTAGGGATTTTACCTACTATTTCCCTTCCCACCACAATCTACTTGGTTATAGTGGTGCAGTTAGGTGCAGTGGTAGGTAGACATTATCAACATTGTGTATGCTGAAACCAGTGTTTTAGAGTAGTGTCCCATCATCGAGCCATGAATGAAACTTGATGGTGGCCAGCTGTTCCAGCAAGTTTATGATCAATACTAATGTTGTTGTATGTGTACAAGGCCCAACTTTGTCTGATTCGAGTTCTAAATTTAATCTCACTGGTGCGTGACGCCAACATTTCAATTTATATTCACAATCAATATTAATTCAGCTGCATTCAAATGTAGGTCCCCATAGTGACGTGTGTGATTAGAGGATTTCAGTTTGTTGCTTTGATTTTTAACTGCTGTGACTAGACAAACAAATGGGAGGGGATTCTATGAGCAGTAGAGTGATGGCAAGAAAGGCACACAGGTGATGACAGGTAGAGGGGGCAGGAAGATCATTTTTAGTTTCAATCTCACACACAAGACCCACACACCACTATTCCCTTAATCTCTCATAAAAGACCAGGTCCCTTACCCCCATGATCCCCTAATCTCTGATATAAGACCAGGTCCCTGACCCCCATGATCCCCTAATCTCTCATACAAGACCAGGTCCCTGACCCCCATGATCCCCTAATCTCTCATACAAGACCAGGTCCCTGACCCCCATGATCCCCTAATCTCTCATACAAGACCAGGTCCCTGACCCCCACAAATCACCTAATCTCTCATACAAGACCAGGTCCCTGACCCCCATGATCCCCTAATCTCTCATACAAGACCAGGTCCCTGACCCCCATGATCCCCTAATCTCTCATACAAGACCAGGTCCCTGACCCCCATGATCCCCTAATCTCTCATACAAGACCAGGTCCCTGACCCCCATGATCCCCTAATCTCTCATACAAGACCAGGTCCCTGACCCCATGATCCCCTAATCTCTCATAAAAGACCAGGTCCCTGACCACCACAAATCCCCTAATCTCTCATACAAGACCAGGTCCCTGACCCCCTACAAATCCCCTAATCTCTCATACAAGACCAGGTCCCTGACCCCCATGATCCCCTAATCTCTCATACAAGACCAGGTCCCTGACCCCCATGAATCCCCTAATCTCTCATACAAGACCAGGTCCCTGACCCCCATGATCCCCTAATCTCTCATACAAGACCAGGTCCCTGACCCCCATGAATCCCCTAATCTCTCATACAAGACCAGGTCCCTTACCCCCATGATCCCCTAATCTCTCATACAAGACCAGGTCCCTGACCCCATGATCCCCTAATCTCTCATACAAGACCAGGTCCCTGACCCCCATGATCCCCTAATCTCTCATACAAGACCAGGTCCCTGACCCCCATGATCCCCTAATCTCTCATACAAGACCAGGTCCCTGACCCCCATGAATCCCCTAATCTCTCATACAAGACCAGGTCCCTGACCCCCATGATCCCCTAATCTCTCATACAAGACCAGGTCCCTGACCCCATGATCCCCTAATCTCTCATAAAAGACCAGGTCCCTGACCCCCATGATCCCCTAATCTCTCATACAAGACCAGGTCCCTGACCCCCATGAATCCTCTAATCTCTCATACAAGACCAGGTCCCTGACCCCCATGAATCCCCTAATCTCTCATACAAGACCAGGTCCCTGACCCCATGATCCCCTAATCTCTCATAAAAGACCAGGTCCCTGACCCCCATGATCCCCTAATCTCTCATACAAGACCAGGTCCCTGACCCCCATGATCCCCTAATCTCTCATACAAGACCAGGTCCCTGACCCCCATGAATCCTCTAATCTCTCATACAAGACCAGGTCCCTGACCCCCATGAATCCCCTAATCTCTCATACAAGACCAGGTCCCTGACCCCCATGAATCCCCTAATCTCTCATACAAGACCAGGTCCCTGACCCCCATGAATCCCCTAATCTCTCATACAAGACCAGGTCCCTGACCCCCATGAATCCCCTAATCTCTCATACAAGACCAGGTCCCTGACCCCCCACAAATCCCCTGAACTCACACAGAGGACTCATGAATCCCCTAACCTCCCCATATCTTTACATTACCACGCTAAAGTTTAATTGAACACCCAAACACTTCTGCAGCTTAAAACAACAAAAGTGTGTTTTGGTGTTTTAATTATCAAACTAATTATTTTTTTTTCAATTTTAATAGCTAGGTTACTGCTGTTGATGATTAGATTAAAATAATTAAATCAAGAATCTCAATTAAAGAAAGTCACTGTTGGTGGTTACCATATTCAAAACTCTGAAGTATGATAACCAAGTAAGGCTGGAGCACACAACTAGTTTGTTACTGGTTTAGGTTTGTTTGTGTTTTTAAAAAAAAAATTGTTTTGATCAATCAACTGTTTCATGAGCAGGGAAGGGGCTCAATGATACATCAAGTTTGTGGCCAGTCATGGTGAAACACCTGAGGTCCCAACACCAACCAGTGTTAAGCTCTTCTATCAAAGCAATGAAATAATCAGATTAATTAAATAAACATCTATTAAGTATATACACTTAAGAATGCCGGAAATTGACTTAAAACTTGTTGAGTAAAACTCTTCAAAGAAATCACTGCACATACCACAGAAAACAGAAAGTGTTAGTAATTTTTATCTTTAAAATAAGAGTTTGCCACAATGCAATCAATTTTTACATTTATTACATTCATTTTCCCATTAGGTTAATATAGAATTACACATCAACCATTATATCTATGATAAATTCATTACAATCATAAAGGTTGAATGGTACGAAACAACCAAGATAGAAAAAATGCTAAGATGAAAATAATGTGAACAACCTACATAACCAAGATGGAAATAATGTGAACAACCCACATAACCAAGGTGAAAATAATGTGAACAATCTGTAAACCAAGGTGGAAATAATGTGAACAACCTACATAAACAAGGTGGAAATAATGTGAACAACCTACATAAACAAGGTGGAAATAATGAGAAAAACCTACATAAACAAGATGGAAATAATGTGAACAACCTACATAACAAAGATGGAAATAATGTGAACAATTTACATAACCAAGATGGAAATAATGTGAACAACCTACATAACCAAGATGGAAATAATGTGAACAACCTATATAAACAAGGTGGAAATAATGAGAAAAACCTACATAAACAAGGTGGAAATAATGTGAACAACCTACATAACCAAGATGGAAATAATGTGAAAAACCAACATAAACAAGGTGGAAATAATGTGAAAAACCATACATTATGAAACACATTATAAAATGCTCTATAATTGAAACTTAAGTAAACAATGTTTTAGAATAATTGATAACAACATCCTTCAAAGATTAATGAAAACCTAGTAGGTTGGAAGTGAGGTGTGAATGTGGATGGGAGTGTGGTTGGGAGATCAGTTAATGGTCTGGGATATTGGCCAGGTCAAAATGAGTCTCATTTAGCTGGAAAGGGGGGGGGGGGGGGGGCGTGTTGGTAATATTTTTTTTCATTCAGTTAAGCAATCCTATTAGTCTATAGAATAGAACTATATTTCAGAGTAATTAATTATTTATTTATTTAGATATTGCAAAGATATTGATTACTCAGTAAGCTAGTTATAATATTTAAAAGATGTTTTCTTTTTAAAAAATTGGCCCCATATAGTAGAAAAAGGCATAAAGTCCAAAAGTTCCATAAGCCAACATATTGTACACAACTACGTAATTTAAAAAAAAACATGATATTAATATTAGGTAGGTGTATTAGCCTAGGAAAAACGTCAAGTGTGGCAGCTTAAACAATTCTGGAGAATTGTGGAAGGAGAAGCACGGACTATTGGGCCTACATGGGCTCAACTAAGAGAGCTAACCAAAACAGTCTGGTGGAGAGGTGATGCTGCAGCCCTTTATTCTTCATGGGCTTCACTGGGTACAGTCAAATATTTATTTAAGTATGTATTAGGCTGTATTAGGTTAATAAAGCTTGTTATCCTACATAGTAGGCCTACATAATATTATTCTGATAATCATTTCATTAGGGCCTAGAATCTTTAAAATTAGTAATTAGTAAACAAGTAAACATATACCTAAATACTAAATAATCATAATATATTGTAGGCCTAATAAATGCTAAGTCAAGTAGTTAGTCTATAAATTAAAGGATATTCCCCCTCCCCCCAGGCCTACCCCTAATAAATTAAATAAGGGAGCAGCAGCACTGAGGGCACTGTAAGTTGTAAACTTGTAAGACCAGACCCCAACATCATTCTATTCCATACTACTAACTACTAGAGTCTACAACTAGATCTAGAATCTAGATCTCTAAGGTCTAAGTTAAAAGAAGACTAAGATTCTCTTAGTAATAGATTTATAGAAGACTGTGGCTGCACTTTTAGGATCAATTTACTTTTATTTACTGAACTGACGTTACTGCCCTTTGCTGCCTTTTCACTAACTTGTAATAACTTAATTAATTAAGTCGAGTCTTAAGTTATAAAATAATCTACTCAATCTATCTAGGCATAAAAAGTTAAAAAAAAGTAACTTACCGATTATTACTGAAGTGGTACGTAGATCTAACTTGACAATAAGAAATCAGTAAGAATCTAGCCTTTTCGTTAAATAAACTATTAGAACTAGTATTGTGATGGTATTTTTCAATGTTTATTTGATGCGTCATCTTCAAAAAACTTATTAGACCTAGACCTACTTATTAGATAGATCTACACTAAGGTATTGACTGCTAGAAATAGAATCTCTTGATTCTGTTTGATCTTTTTTGAGAGAAAAAAATAAAAGCAAAGGTAAATTAAAAATAACAATGACAGGAATCGATACTTTTACAAAAGAAAACCACACTCGATTTCAATTCTTAAATCTATATTAGTTCAAAAAGTTCAGCATTAGATTATGAATTTGTGCTGTATATTAAGATTATAGTATTAATGTAGTTATAATTAGTCTATATAATATTGTAATAGAAAAAACCATCATAAATACCGAAAAATAAATATTAAAAAGCTAAACCGGAATTCGGCGTTGCCAGAGCAACAGAGGCGTCCAATATTTACCTGACAGTATACTATATGCAAGTTTAAATTGTCGCAATGTCCGACGAAGAACTAGAAGAACTAGGTGATGTCGGTGAAAACGCCGAAGAGGAAAAAATAGAAGATGAGGAATTGGGAGAAGAAGAGGACATTCAAGGAGATGAAGAAGATCATGTTGAGGAAGAAGTGAGTTGTGTAGATTATTACTATTATATAACTATATTAGTTAAATAGTCTACCAATTACATTAGGTTAGGGCTCAAGAGTGTCATGTTGCTCCTAATGTTTTAGATGCATTATCAATGATTATCATTATCAACACTGTTAAATAATACATTACCATGATTATTGCACAATAGCTATGGGAAATATATTAAAACATAACTCATCATCATTCCTTTGTGGCCCCTGGGGAGCAAGGGGCTGCAACCACACATTCAGTGTTTCTTCCAGACTTTTTTCTCCGGGGGGGGGGGGGCACTTGAAATCTTCGGGGGAGCGGTAAACTTTCTTCGGGGGGGCGGACACTGTTAAAAGTATATATTTTCTATATAAATTATATAAATTTCATTTCGTTCGGGGGGGGGGGGGGGGGGGGGCGGTAAAATTTTTTCGGGGGGGCTTTGCCCCCCCCCCCGAAGAGATGCCTGGAAGAAACTCTGCACACATTTCCAGCTGACTCGGTTTTGGGCTGCTCCCTTAATCTGTGCCCATGTGAGCCCAGCTGTTTTCACCTCCTCTTCAACTGTTCTTCTCCATGTCTTCCTTGGCGGTTCCACCCTCCTTTTTCCCTGGGGAAAACATAACTATAGGCCTAAAATATTTATTATTTAATGATTTAAAAAATCTTCTAAATAAAAAGCAAACATATTTTCAGAAAATTCCACCTAACCCATTGACAGCAGAGCTTGTTGCTGAAAGTTTATCTTTGCTGTGTAAAACTGGTGATGGATTAGCTCATGCCTTTGTCAAATTAGATATTCATGAAAGGTATTTTTGTGATTGTCAAATCTTTATAAATTTTATTTTTGAAGAAGCAGAATTTTAATACACTAAAGTTTAATATTTGTTGTATTATATATAAAATAATTTAATGTAATGGCATTTCTATTTACATGAATCATATTTATTTCCAGAGACCTGACAGATATTGAAATACTACAGTCATTCATACACTTGCGATACATTGATATCAGCAAAAACATGTTGAAAGACATCTCCCCACTTAGTGCAGTTACACACCTGCTAACACTAAAAGCAGATGAGAATTTACTAACTACAATCAGACTGGAGGAGATGCCATATTTGCAGGTACCCTTACAGACTGGTTCTAAAGTTATTGAAGAGTTTTCATAGCTCACATATATATATTTAGAGCCTTCATACAGAAAAAAAAAACATTTTCAAACAAGTTTGTTAAACAAACCCCACCTTTACTATTGTGGGATGGCATGTTCATATGGTAGAGCATGCTACTGCTAACCAAAAAAGTCTTGAGTTCAGATAGAAACGTCCCTGAATCCACCCAGGTCTGATTGGTATTTGACACATGTTTGGGAAAGTAAAGCAGTTGAGGAAAGTGATGGCAACACCATCCTTGACACATGTTTGGGAAAGTAAAGCAGCCAAGGAAAGTGGTGGCAACACCATCCTTGACACATGTTTGGGAAAGTAAAGCAGCCAAGGAAAGTGGTGGCAACACCATCCTTGACACATGTTTGGGAAAGTAAAGCAGCCAAGGAAAGTGGTGGCAACACCATCCTTGACACATGTTTGGGAAAGTAAAGCAGCCAAGGAAAGTGGTGGCAACACCATCCTTGACACATGTTTGGGAAAGTAAAGCAGCTGAGGAAAGTGGTGGCAACACCATCCTTGACACATGTTTGGGAAAGTAAAGCAGCCAAGGAAAGTGGTGGCAACACCATCCTTGACACATGTTTGGGAAAGTAAAGCAGCCAAGGAAAGTGGTGGCAACACCATCCTTGACACATGTTTGGGAAAGTAAAGCAGCCAAGGAAAGTGGTGGCAACACCATCCTTGACACACATTTGGGAAAGTAAAGTAGCTGAGGAAAGTGGTGGCAACACCATCCTTTAAGGTGCAAAGGTCAAGTAACATATGACCTCTACTTCATCTGTGCTATGGAATGTTAGGAATTTATTTACTTATGTTTCCTATAACCTTTTATATAAATATCAATTTTTATATAAAAATATAAATAAATATGTATATTGTATGCAATAGTAGTAATTAATCATACAATGAAATTACAGGTAGCCAGTTTTAGTCACAATAAATTAACTACAATGGAAGGTATAAATCATCCCATGCTTGAACACTTAAATCTAAACAGTAAGTAAAAACATTTTGGTATTGAAAATATATAAAATATTGAAGAAAGATTTTAGTTACCTAAAAAGCTACAACCTCCATGCATATATCATCTATTTAAAAATCATCTTGGTTTGTGTTATTTCTAAATGAAATAGAAGCTTTTTTTTTGGTAAAATATTTTATCGACTGAGAAATTTTGAAGCTCATTTTTATTTTCTAATATACAGAGTATAGAGAAAGTAAATATTAACAGATTTTAAACAGTTTTCACAGTTTTACACCTCTCTTTTTTACCGTATTTACGGAATATAATGGATGCATTGTAATCATGAAAAATCTAAATAAAGATTTTGACACAGTTTGATGTTTTATAACCTTCCAGAGCCAGAAAAACTTTTTCAGTCCTGTCCATCTGATTGTTGTGTCTATCTATATAATTCAGATAGGTTGACAAAATTTTTGAATATAAGGATTATAAATTTTTTTAGTTTCTATAAACTTTTAAATGATTTCCGGTAAATTGAAGTAATTACTTACTGTATTTTGGTTTCTTATAAGCCTATAACTAGAGTATCTTGTAAGTTAGGTGGACAACAAATTTCAAATTTAAGTCAAAGTTTCTCCATTTTTGGTAACTGAAAGTAGTACTTTATTTCCATTGGAAGATGATAATGAGGGTACTGTTTCAGTTAGGTAGACGAGATTTTATATCTAAGTATAAGAACTTATACTTTGATTACTTTCAAGTTTTGATTGACCCCTGATATTTGAAAGTGTTCCTTTACTCTTTTTTTGGTTTCTAAATTATCAATAACATATATAGTTTCAGTAAAATTGTATACATAGGTATAAGATCCTGTTATCTTGATTATATAAAATTTTGAGAGATTGACAGTGAAAGGTAGTAGTACTTTATAGCACTTCTGATTTAGAACAAACTTTCACTTTTACTAGACTGATTAGTTTCAAACATTTCACATAGAAGACTGATGACAATTCACTGTGACATAAAATATTACTTAATTAGAAGTTTAATTAACATTTTAAAAACAAAATTAATCAATGTTTCTTTAATGAATTACACATTTTCCGTACTATTATATGCTCATTTTTTTCCTTCAATGGTTGCACAATTATTTTTAAGTTGTAAAAATATTAATAAAAAACATTTCAATAGCCCAATTGATCTAAATGTGCCATCCCCCTTACTATTTGTGTATAAAAAAATACGAGAAAGTTTTGTAGAGATCACTCCCACTTGGGGTCGGCGTGGTCGAGTTGGTAAAGCTCATGGTTGCTAAACCGAAAAGTCTCGAGTTCGAACCCTCGGGCAGATGAGGCTCGTTAGCTGGGGAAAGCCACTCTTCCAGGAGAGAAAACTCCAAAATCAAACAACTGCTGCCTTGTAGCTTGTTCTTGGTTGGACAAAGGCTATGGAAGCAAATCAAAAAAGAAAAGCAGGCTGAAATCGGAGTCAATGGCCTCAATGGCGCATAACCAGTTGACACGTAATCCTTAATTGTGATGGAAGCATGGTCGAGTCGGCAAAGCTCATGGTTGATAAATTCGAAAAAAAAAGTCTCGAGTTCAAACCCTCTGGCAGATAAGGCTTGATCCCTCCCAACACTAAAAATTAAGAACGAAGAAGAAGAAGAAAGACTCCCACTTTATTTCTTTTACTAATTATAAATTTAAGTGCAAATAAATCTTTTTCTCCCAAGTAGTTTTAATAGTAGACGAAGATCTGTATAAAATAATATGTGTCACCCCTGAATTACATTAATGTACACCTATTGCTTCAGGAAGTTAAGCTTAATTGATTTAAAATTTAGGTCTAGTCCAGATCATGGACTCTTAAACTCTTTACTCTAGTGGTAAAATATTTTTCTAATGTTATAGCAATTATTTCTTGCAGAAAATTTAATTCAGAGTGTGTCAGGGCTGAACAGTTCTAAATTAACAAGACTCCACACGCTAGAAATAAGAGGGAACAAGCTAGAAACATTAGAAGGACTTTGCCTGCCAAACATAAAAAATTTATTTGCTGTAAGAGGTTGAAAATATATTCTTTTCAATTTTTATTTTGTTGCTTTCATCTTTTAATCCTTATTTTTTATGTGAGTTTTGTAATAAACTTTTTAAAGTTGTTCATAAAGTGAGTTTCATCCAATATTTATATATTTTGTTCTTGAACAGGCAGCCAATCTACTTAAGAAGATTGAAGGAATGTCCCGCCTTCCAACTTTAACCACACTTCATCTTCGAGACAACCAGATAGACAGCTTGGATGGCTTTTCGGAAGATCAAAAAACATTGCAGTACATAAACCTTAGGTTAGTAAGAAACAACTTTGCAATATGTAAATCTCAGGACAGTAATAGGCCTACTTCTTTGGATATTTTATTGATTATTGTTTAATTTAACACTGTATTAAACTCTTATTTCTGATAGAGGGAATGCCATTGCATCAGTCAAAGAATCAGCCAAGTTAAAAGTTCTTCCAATGTTGAGAGCTTTAGTTCTTTCAGGTAAAATAATTTATTGACAATAAAAACACCCTCATTGGAGGTTAACTCTCAATGAATAAATACAAAATATTCACAATAAAGTACAGTCATTCTTAAAACAGATTGTTTTGAAATCAATACATTTGAACATTTTCTAATTAGCTATTGGTTTCACCATAAATGATTTATCTGTAACCACAATTTTTAAGCTAGCCAATATATATTCTATTAAACAAGATTTATAAATGCTTGTGAATATTCAAATTAAAAAGTACTAAGACTTTTGTTTGACAATTTAAAAGATTTCATAGACAAAACATTATCAATTCATTGTAATAAAAATATTAATTAAGATTATTAACATTCTGAATAAGCCATCATAATTAAATATTTGTAATATTTGCACACGGAAAAAAATTGCAGTTCAGTTTTTCTACTCTTTAACAATTAACCCAAGCTTCAACTGAATTTTAATGTTGGAAGTGATTTCCTTCAAAACAAGTACTACGTGTCAACTTGTTATGTGCCATGTAGGCCGTTGCCTTATATTTCAGCTTTATACTCCTGATTTGCTTCCATAGTCTTTGTCCAACCAAGAACAAACTACAAATGTGCTGAAGTTGTTCTATACAGATAACCCATATGCTGAAGTTGTTCTATACAGATAACCCATGTGCTTAAGTTGTTCTATACAGATAACCCATGTGCTGAAGTTGTTCTATACAGATAACCCATGTGCTGAAGTTGTTCTATACAGATAACATATGTGCTGAAGTTGTTCTATACAGATAACCCATGTGCTGAAGTTGTTCTATACAGATAACCCATGTGCTGAAGTTGTTCTATACAGATAACCCATATGCTGAAGTTGTTCTATACTGATAACCCATATGCTGAAGTTGTTCTATACAGATAACCTATGTGCTGAAGTTGTTCTATACAGATAACCCATATGCTGAAGTTGTTCTATACTGATAACCCATATGCTGAAGTTGTTCTATACAGATAACCCATATGCTGAAGTTGTTCTATACAGATAACCCATATGCTGAAGTTGTTCTATACAGATAACCCATGTCCTGAAGTTGTTCTATACAAATAACCCATATGCTGAAGTTGTTCTATACAGATAACCCATGTGCTGAAGTTGTTCTATACAGATAACCCATGTGCTGAAGTTGTTCTATACAGATAACCCATATGCTGAAGTTGTTCTATACTGATAACCCATATGCTGAAGTTGTTCTATTCTTTCTTTAACAGATAACCCATGTCCTGAAGTTGTTCTATTCTTTCTTTAACAGAAAACCCATGTCCTGAAGTTGTTCTATTCTTTCTTTAACAGATAACCCATGTGCAGAAGAAGATGATTACAGATTGGAGACATTAATTGCCATCCGAACCCTTGAAAGATTGGACAAAGATGAATACACCCCAGAGGAGAGGACAGAGGCAGAAGAAATAGCTGAACAAAGACGACATGATGAGGAGGAAAAAGCCGTAAGTTGAAACAGTTTTCATGAAGGATTATAAACATTAATATTTAGATCTTTTTATTAAAAAGAATATCTTTTTAAGTAAAAATTGCTTTGTAAACATTAATTCTCTGAACTGATCACTTTCTCCAAAGAACACAGAAGATTTCAAAGAAGTTTATAAAATACATTAAGTATTTGAGAGGAGTAGCTGAGTTATACATCTGTCAATCACAAGTCTTAAAAACATCACTATAAGTCTTCTATTGAGTGGTTGCTGTAGCTGGACATTCATGTTCTCATAATGTACATATTTATCCAGAAATTGGACTCATAGCATTTCGTGTTTGCATGTGTTTACTAAGAAAATAGATTCATAGCTTTTCATATTCACATATTAAACAGATACTGGAAGCTCAAATTATGGAAGAAATTGAAATGACAGAAAAGACATTTAAGGAAGATTTTGAAAATGCAGAAGATTATGAAGCTTCTGAGGTTAAAATTTGAGTTGTTGGATATCTTTTCCGTTTGGGAAACGAGCCGTTGTAATTTCTTGTTCAGAATTATTCAAATGACGTTTCATTTTGACAATTGTTTTTAGCATTTGTTCAATTTTCAATTTTGTTGTAATATATTAATTTTCTCTAAAAACAAAAATAAGTTGGTCTTTAATAGAAGCAAAAATATATTTAAAACAAAAATGTCTAAAATGTTAATGAAATTAAGTTGACTTGCTTTTACTTGTCCTATGTACTTTTATCAAAACACATATTAAAAGAATTCTTTCCCTTTTTGCCTTTGAAAGCTACAAGGACAGTTATATAAAACTGATGATATTGATATTGTCTGCCTTGTCCATATCTGTGAAAAATTTTATTTAGTTTTACAATTTTTTCCTTCATTTGGCAGGGAGAAGACTCAGAAGCTGGACCAAATCCTGAAGAATCCACAGAGGAGAAGTATTAATCATTTACAAATTTAGATCATGCAAGGAAGAGTTCATTTTAACTTGAAGAGATATTTTGGTTGTAAGCATGAACTGAACAGATCAGATGGGTATCACAATACTTTCCATTGAAATATGATTGTAATAATCTCTAAGTGCTGACTTTGCGGCCTCCTTGTGATGACAACAATTTTTACTTTGTTGAAGTAAAATCATGATCAATGGATAGCTTTGTAATTAACAATTTATGTATTAGTAAGCTGATTATATTTTGGACTTACTATAGTAATGTTATTTCTATTTAAACATTACATTAAAATTACATTTTATTTTAAAATGTTGTAAAAGTATTTTGTTGAATTTGATTTTTAATGAAGAGTTTATTTGATGACTACAGTTTAGGTATAATCTTAAGTGAAGCATTTAAACAGGCCTACTTGATAGTTAATTTGAATTTTCTTAATTGTGATTGGTAATCACTAAACTTTTAAAAATTAAAAAAAACAAAAACAAAACAGAAACAACCTGTTAGATGTGTGGAAAAATTTGAGAAAAATGGAGAAATAAAAATTATCTACATTTTAGATGTGTTCAAATAACTAAGCATTCTAACACCAACAATTATTCAGCTTGTTAGGGTTCTTGCTTACAAGGTATAAACCCAACAGAAATTATATTTTGAGAATATAGTTTTTTAATGATCTAACATGAGTAACAAAATATAACAATGCTGTAGGCACTAGTCAATGTCCAAAGCTGCCAAATGTTTTGCTCCACTCTGTGTAAAGTTCCAGATCTTTAGGGGAAACACTTGCACGTACCTGACAAAGAGCTTCTTCAAAATCTCTAAACAATATTGGTCGAACCTAGAATATAAATGTAATATTCTTAGTAAAAACAAAAAATGAATTATTTCTCTAATTATTAGTCAAGAATGTTCAGTGTAGACATATGAAGCCAAATGGGACAGGCAAAAAATCAAAACACCCCTGGCATATACCACTGAGTGAGACAGTCTAGTAAAGAAGGTGAAGTAAAAGTTTAAAAAAAGCAAACATTGACACACTGTTTATAAAACAGCCTTATAGTAATATTGAACATACATAGGAGACCTGTTTCTCAATTCTAACCTCATTTCCTTGTTGTTGATAAATAAATGGTCTTATTACTTAAGGTTTAAAATTGTAGAAGATTTATATTCAGAACATCAATTTGAACCACTTATGATACCTTGAATTAAAACTAATTGCATCTGAATGTTTTAGTTGTCAGATAGTAGAGGTGTGAGACAGAATTTGAGAAATTTTGTGGGTATCATGGGAGAAAAGAATGACTACTAGACCTGCCACAGACTTGAGGTCAACGACACTTCAGGGAGCAGGATATTGGGTATTTAGATGGGGATATGGTTAGGATTATATTTGGTTAGGGATTCTAAGTAGGGGGGGGGGGTTTATCCAGGGGTAATAATCAAAGTGGGTGGTTGATGTTAATGTCCTTGACACTGTACAGACTTGAGGTCAACTTGCCAGGGTCAACCATGTAGAAAATAATCTGGTTCTGACCTGGTCGGGTGTTATTGTTTCCATTTCCTCAATTGGTATACTTCTGATGGGGCCTAAAGCAGCCTCTCTACATAGGTTGGTCATGTCAGCCCCTGAATAACCTAGGAATAGAATATAGTTTTAACCATAGATTTAAAATCAAAACAAGTTGTCAATTCAAAGCAGTCTTTTATGCACATAAAAAAAGGCAGCTATTTAATAGAATGATGTACATGTTAACCCAAGATTACATAACGTAGTTTTAAGCCAAACTTTTGCTTGTTGCTTCTTACCATCAGTTTTATCACAGATTGCCTGAATATCCTTCTCACTGAGCTGACTATTCTGCTGGCTCATTAGATTTAGAACAATCTGTTGCCTAGCAACAGCTTCTGGGAGTGGGATGAGCAGGCGCTTGACAAATCTTCTTCTGGCAGCCTCGTCCAGTTCCTGGGGTCTGTTTGTGGCACCAATAACAAGAATCCTGTCTTCAGCCTGCGTGGCTGCTCCATCCTGTTAAGTGTTTAAAGGAGCTTTTGGAATTCTACATCAGTAACTATCAAATGGGGCAATATAAAAATAATCTCAAATAACTTTAATTTGGCTGCAAGTCTTTAAAACTCTAAACATAATTGCCAAGTCATATTTAATTTTTGTGATAGAATAATTGTAAGTTTTAAAATTTAACCAAGACTTATGTCTATAGAGAACAAAATATTACATGAAAACATTTGCACAATTTCACTTATCAATTTTATACAACACATTTTAATTGAAAAAAATATAGCACTATAAAGCCTATTAATAAAACTTGAATTGTAATTTAGAAACAAATCAATACAATGAGATCAACCACTTAATAATTAACCTATGAATAAAATAGGGTCAAAAAGATTCAAATGACAAACCAGTTGGACTAAAAATTCAGTTTTTATCCTGCGAGAAGATTCATGCTCCGAGTCAGATCTTTGAGAGAGCAGGGAATCTATTTCATCAATGAAGACAACAGCAGGTTGGTAAAACCGTGCCACAGCAAACAGGGCTCGCACCATCTTCTCCCCTTCCCCTACCTGTCAAGGTTTGTTCACTCGACATTCAAATAAATAAATCAACTGTTGCTAAATAAGAAGCAAAACTAATTACCAAATATGCTATGATGAAGTTCTTAATTTGTTTGCTATTATTCTGTTGAAAAGGATTTTAAAAAGTAAGCTACAAATACAAACCCATTTAGAAGTCAAACTGGAGGCTGAAATGCTAAAGAACGTTGACTTGGACTGGCTGGCAATACACTTCCCTAGGAAACAGAGAAAGCAGAAATATTAAACTAGTTTAAAGTTACCAATGTAATTTGACACAGGGTTTTATTGAGTCATTCCTTAAACGCCAATCTCTAAAGACAAACTTTACCTATCAGTGTTTTGCCAGTGCCTGGAGGTCCAAACAGTAAAAGCCCTTTTGGTGGCCCTCGCAGCCCAACAAAAATATCACTGAAAAAAATTTAAAATTAGAGATTGCGATGGGGACTGTATTGAAGTAAAAGTGTTGACGATTTACTTGAGAATGCATTAAAATAGACCTGATTATTTCAGGCAAGAAAACTCTGATCAGGTGTTTATGTTTTAAGTTATCTATATATATAATTCTCTTCTTGGAGACATCAAAAAAAATATTTGTAAGCGCGCCTTGCAGTCCCCTCTCTTCCTCTCTAGGAAGTCTGGTGAGCTGTGGTTCACGCTAAATGTATACAATCGTAGAGCCGGGTTTAGTGACGGCTATTAGGGGCAGATAATGTAGTTTGAAACGATTTTAAACTTAGGGGAGGTAACGAAGGGGGGTAGGGGTTGGGGGAAAGGAGGGGGGTATCGTCCTTAATGACCATCTGATGTGTTTTAAAGCAAATATTTTCAGTGGCAGCATTGGTACTGTCGAATTCACAAATTATGAATTACTGAAAAGTAGAAAATAAAACAACTAAGGCTGCGGGTCGGCTCGTTTATTATGAAAGACTAAGTGGATGAGTAAAGTCACTGGGTACATAAGTTTGTTATATGGCTGACATAGTTAATGGTGCTTCACTAACTTACCTCATATAAAAAATATCCTAAGCATTACATTGGTCAATGTATGTTCAAAACAATACAAATATTTACTGTGAACAACTAGGAAAGTTTATTTTGGATCAACTAGAAAAATTTACTGTGAGAATCAACTAGAAATGTTTACTGTGAGAATCATCTAGAAATGTTTACTGAGAATCAACTAGAAATGTTTACTAAGACTCAACTAGATGTGTTTACTGTGAGAATCAACTAGAAATGTTTACTGTGAATCAACTTACGGTCTAAGCATAGGCCAAACAACAATTTCTTTGATTGTCTTTTTAGCAAATTCCAGACCAGCAATGTCTGACCAAGTGATCAAAGCCCCATGATCCATTATCTGAGGAAATAGAATCTTTTGTTACTTGCACTAGCAAATAATTAGAATTAACCCACTGGTTACTGAAAGTCTAGGGTAATTTTTTTCCCCTTTATGAACAGCAATTTAAAGGGAGATAACTTTAACTTAGAGCACAAATGGAGACTGATAAGAGTTAGTCCTCACCTCGTTCTTTATTAACTCAATCATTTTTGGGTCGATACCTTTCAGTTTTTCATCTACAAATTCATCACCACTATTTGTCTGATCACTGTCTCTAGTTTGTTTGGCAGACTGCCCAAAACAACTTCCCTGTCTTGAATACAAATGTTTTCATCAGTTAACAAAGACATGTTTGCTATTTTATTATTTTTACATTTTAGAATAATAAAGAAAACAACAATTCAGTTGAAAAACATCACTTACTCATCGGAATCTCTGTTAAGTATAGGTGGAATAAACTTGGAAGTTGGACCTCTCCTGAAAATTGTAAATATACAACATTTTAAATACAAATTTGAAACAAAACACCTATGTTTATTTTTCTGAACTAAAACTAGCACTATTTCATCAAGTTATAATTATCGATGAATGACCTGGTTCCCAAAGATTTCTTGACTGCTCCATAATTTTCTTCTGAGACGTAACCTCCAGTTTTTAGTTGGTTTATGACCTGTTGGTAGAGAAAGTAACAGAATGTAACACACTTTGGTGAAAGGACAGAACAATATGAAGCTGAAACTCTCTTACCAATTGTTGTTTAGCTGTCTTAAAAGGTACACGGGCAGAAACTTGATCTTCTTCTTCTTGTTGATCATTATCTGCAGCCTGCAACATTAAATGGGTGTTTTTCATGTTTGTAATGACAAATATTTTTCTTTTTGAAATTTCTTTCTTAAAATGTAACGTTTTATAATGAACTGGAATGTAAAATATAAATGAAACTTACTCAGCACAATTAAGAAATAATAACAAACATAATTAATATTTTTGATGGAAGTAAATTAGTTCAAACCTGATTATACGACCAATGAGATTTTTTTCTTTTCTCACCGTAGTTGGAGGAGTGTGCAACAATTTTCTATAAAACATGTTTTAAGTTTATTTTAGAAATGAAATAAAAAACTTTTGCGCCACATACTTTATTATATTTTTGACTTAATCTATAAAATTTTCAATACAGAAAAAAAAACATAACACTGAGTTTAACTTCATAAGTCAAATTTTTTTAAATTCTGAAAGTGTTCTTGCAGGAGACTGCTGCATGAATAAAAAAATTTAAGTAAAAAAAATAACCTTCAATTTCTTTAAAAGGCTTATTTTATTTTTAAAATATCTTATTAGAAGCCATTTAAAAAAAGAATTGTTAGAAGCCAATTAAAAAAAAATTGCAAATATAAATGCAAGAAAAAAAAAACAACAACTTTCCAAACTGAAAATTATTGGATGCAGTACAAAGTGAAACTTACAGGTACAGACGGAGTAATGTTCCCTTGAGCTGTGTAGGTTGGACTGGGTTGTGGATATCTGGTTGTGTTCATATATCCTGGTGGCTCTTTTACACTGCTATAGCTGAAGGCAGACTGTGGCCTAGCTGGTTGTTTGTCTTGTATGACAGTCTGATACAACATTTTACTACTGGGACAGACATTGTTGTGTACAGGTCTAGGACCTGGTGAAGGCTCATTAATGACAGGTATTTCCTGGTTGGGTGCATTGATGGCACTGTGTTTAGAAACTATTTTTTGAAACCTAAAAGTTGGTTTCTGATTGATAGAACACTCTGTAAACAAACAAAAAATTGTTATGAATTTGAATAATAAAATGCGAATTATTGTCATTTGCAACTCTATCTTATAGATAAAATGGTTTTAAAAATTTATATTAAGTTAATAATTTGTATATTGTAAAACAGAAGATGCAATTAAAAATTATTTTCATGGTAACCTCCCTTGAAAATCTAGGAATAACAAAGTTCATTTTGAGAATGTCCTGTCTCATTTAACTTTTGTACATATTTGTAATTAAAATAAAACTAAGATATAACCACCTGTTTCTGTACAACTTGAAGACTTTGGTTTCAAACACTGTAACTGAATGACACTGTCTTCATCCTGATTTTCATCCTTTAATATTAAAGCAAGTTAGTGTTGATTGTTGGTACTAATCTTTACATATTCACACATATTAAATAATAAATGAACATCTTACTTCAGATAAATGTTGACTACAAAGCTTTTCCATCATTTTGTTGACACTAGAAGTCTTCCATTTTGCACTTTCTGTAAGATTTTAAAAAGATGGATGTTGATACTTTCAAATATATTAATAATATGATTGTTTGTGTTTTAGATTTTTGTTGATTATAAAATGTGATAATGAACAAACTAAAGAAAGTTAATTAATATAAAAAAACAAAAATGTAGTTGTTAAAAACATTATATTAGAAAATATATTGGGATTTAATTTTCTAATAAATACATTTTAATATATTTTGCATCAAATTTTGGCAAAAACATACCATTTTTGAACTTACTGCATAAAGCTAAAGCCCCTTCTGCATAGTTGTTTAATCCTGTAAATATATAATTTTTACAACAAAAAAATGACATTATCTCTTTTTATAGTAGATTTCATAATTGCAGTTCTTGATTAGGAGATGATTACAGGCAATATACATAATTACAAGCTCTCATTAGAAAAATTTATTAATGCCATCTCTTCAATTTGAAATTGCAAGAATCCGTCTATTGATACTTAATTTATTCAACACAACATAAAATCATTTTTCTAAAACATTAATTAGTCCTAGTAGCAATATTATAAGTCTACATAAATATATAGGCTCAAATGTTACTGTGAAAATGACATTTTAATTATCCTAAAAAAATATATTATAAAACATTACTTTATTAGAGATGCTGGCGTTTTACCTCCTGTATTGATATTGTCTACAATAGATGTGTACTTCTTTAGGTAAGTGGCAGCCTCTTTTTGAAAATCTGATCCAAAGTCTTGGTCTTGTTTGCTGGTGAGAAAAAAAAAATTAACTTTAAGCCTACTGAAAATGATTAAGAAGATGCAAAAAAAGTAGTAAAAGTAAAAGACAATATTTTGCTTCAAGAATAATCAAAAGCTGTTCAACCTTTTTTCCAAAGTGGATGCTCTCTGCATGTGTAGATACATATTCCTGTAGACATCAGCAAGTTCAGATGGCTGTGACAAAGTTGAGGAGGCAAACAAAAGTTGCTGAAGGCAGGTTATAAAACCACTCTCATTCTCCTTCAGGTTCATAGTCTTGGTTATTGTTTCAATAACTTTCAATCCTAATCACTCATTGGCAAATATTTTATTTAGGCCCTAGTATACTGTATACTAGACACTAGTAAAGTAATTGTCATTGAATTGTGAATTGAGGCAATTTCACACAAAATTTGAAAATAGTAAAATAGTAAATACTATAATAGGCCTAAATACTAAAAAAATAGTAAATAAATAGACAACAAAAATATTTATTAGGCCTAGGGCCTAATTATAAAATACTACTATTAATATTATTACTTTTATAAAATACTACTATTAATATTATTACTTTAGTTTAGTCATTAGTCTAAGTTTAAGCTAAACATCTAGATCTAGGTCTAGATAATATTCTTAGTTGTTAGTATGTTACTGTGTGTTAGGCCTAAAAAGTACAACAGAGCAACCAAGTAACATCATCACAAATGAGTCGAAAATTACCGCGCCTCCTTCTTCTTTTTCGCAAATTATCATTTTAATTATTAGATTCTAGATCAAGAACAGCGCCTAAACTATTAGTATTAAATATTCAATGAAACGGCAAGTATTGGATACTATTTAAATCTAGAAGCGTCCATCGAATCCCTTGCAAAACTAAATTTAATCTGATATCGATCTTTGTCTTAATCTCAGATCTAGAAATATTTTTGACTGGCCAAAGAAAAAGAAGTGGGCCTACTGTCAAATCAGTTCCGACAACTCTGCAACCGGATGTTATTAAAACCACTTTCGGTTTTCCTCGAAAACGCAAACAAAATACTTCAAAATAGTATTAGATCTATATTAGTAAATCTAAAATTTAGATTCTAAATAGATCTAGATCTAGATTAGTGTGAGGGAGTCAGAATCTCAACGAATACACAACCAACACGATTGATGCTTAGGTATCACAGTATCCTTTATTTCTCCTTAAACCTGTTTGCTTTCACTCCAACTTAGTTAGAGTCAGACTTACTTTCATTCAACTGTCCTCCGCAATCTCCGCATTCATTCCTACCCTCGTTCACTCCGTACAACAACATACACGTCAACACACCCGGCCTCGCATCTCACTACATGATACATACACACACGCAGTGATCCCTTACGCGTATTCACCTTTCATACACATTACATCACCACAATTAGACAGTCAATTAGATCTAGATCTAGATCTAGAGATCTATCTATCAAAAAGAACTAAAAAGAATTAGCGTCACCCCTACCCTTTCTTCTAAAAAAAGTAGCCTAATTAGTTTAATTAAATACTAGTAAAAGTAATTAGTAATTAATAATTATTAGGCCTGTACTGGTCCTAGAGGCCTAAATTTAATTAGATCTAGTAAATTTCGGTAATCTATGTTTTAGTTTTAGGTACATAAAATCGCCCACGACTAGTAATGTGAAAAACAGGTGACTCATTAAATTTTAATAATTATTTCACATTTTGAGGAGGATTTATGACAATTTATATGTATTGAAAAACACAAAAATGATTCCTTGTTTTATTTATGTACCTATTTTTAAACAATTGAATTAAAAATGTTCTGTAATAAATGAAGACTAGCAATGTTTCCAACAGATACAACCATGCTCATTTACTATAGCAGCCATCTTGTTTATTTTTTTTAAATTGTAAACTTAATTAATAGCGCAAGATTCAGGGGAAGCCACTCTAACTTACAGATGGCAGCTTTTTATCTGAGCAAATCCTGCTCGTAAACACTGCTGTTTAAAGTTAATTTCTTGCCTATATTGATATATTTACTTACCCAATGATTTAGGTAGGCCTATATTATTCATTTATCTATAATATTTGACACAAATATATCACAATATATATACTTCTATTAAAGCCTTGACAATGGGGTAACTTTTTCGTACATTACTAGCCGCGGGTGATTTTACGCACCTAAAACGATAGATTACCGGCCTGTTTATTATTTTTATTGTAGAAATAAGAATTATATCTAGATCTAGATCTATAAAAAAATTCTATAAGCCTACCAAAAATTGTTTTCTTTTCAGATAAAAACCCACAATGGATTTTGAAGAAAAAGAAATTCTGACACTTAATCGAGTTGAGCTTGTTGAAAATATTAACATTTTAGATGGATTATATACACAACTTATAGCTCGAAAAGTTCTGACTCAACGTGCAGTTAATCGTATAAAGGTGAGATTTATTCAGTTTATATGTTTTATTTTAAAAGCGTTGTGTTTGAATGTTTTCAAGATTTTTACAGCAAACGGCTACTGCTTTTTTTTTAAACTTTTTAATGAGAGTGATGTTTTGACATCAAATAAAAAGATGTAATAGTACATTAAAAAAATTTATGTTTTATCAATGTTAAAGTAGACCTACTTTAGTTGATGTGGAAACTTGTACATATTTTTGTGCTTCAACTTATGGACTACATATATGTCCATAATTGACAAGGTTCAAATACTCTGTATATAACATTTTAGATCAAATGTAACACCTAAAACTTTGTCTCTAGACTGTTTATTGTTGTCAAGATGTTTCTGCTGGATTGACACATTTTGTTTTCTCTTGAATTTGTTCCAGTCCAATGGCAGACACGCCCCTGAAGATCAGGTAGAAGAACTGCTCAACACTATAGTTCGCCTCAACTGCTATCAGCTGTTCTGTGAGGCTCTGACTGCTGACCACCAGGGACACATTGTTGACATGTACCTGAAGAAGAGCAAGTTAGAGGACCAGGCTGACCCCAGCACACCAGGACCTTCTGCTAGAAAATCTGACCACACAGGGGAGGCAACTAAGAGCAAGAAACTGTGCACCTCAACTGCACCCGATGCCGTGGTTTATGTCAGCGGCTCTGGTCAGGGGTGCCTGTACCATCAGTGTGATCATGTGACACCCGGCCGCAGACAGCGCCCTCATAGACAGCGCAACAATTCTAATCAGCGCAGCAGTTGTGTTAAAAGATCCAGTGGGAAGATTATTTGTTCCTAGAGCTAGTTCAGTTGTGTTAAAAGATCCAGTGGGAAGATTATTTGTTCCTAGAGCTAGTTCAGTTGTGTTAAAAGATCCAGTGGGAAGATTATTTGTTCCTAGAGCTAGTTCAGTTGTGTTAAAAGATCCAGTGGGAAGATTATTTGTTCCTAGAGCTAGTTCAGGTGTGTTAAAAGATCCAGTGGGAAGATTATTTGTTCCTAGAGCTAGTTCAGTTGTGTTAAAAGATCCAGTGGGAAGATTATTTGTTCCTAGAGCTAGTTCAGGTGTGTTAAAAGATCCAGTGGAAAGATCATTTGTTCCTAGAGCTAGTTCAGTTGTGTTAAAAGATCCAGTGGAAAGATCATTTGTTCCTAGAGCTAGTTCAGTTGTGTTAAAAGATCCAGTGGAAAGATCATTTGTTCCTAGAGCTAGTTCAGTTGTGTTAAAAGATCCAGTGGAAAGATCATTTGTTCCTAGAGCTAGTTCAGTTGTGCTAAAAGATCCAGTGGAAAGATCATTTGTTCCTAGAGCTAGTTCAGTTGTGTTAAAAGATCCAGTGGGAAGATTATTTGTTCCTAGAGCTAGTTCAGTTGTGTTAAAAGATCCAGTGGAAAAATCATTTGTTCCTAGAGCTAGTTCATCATGGACAAAATGATGGTTTCAACATTGTTTAAATAATGTTATTGATGACATTGATCAAAATGTTTATTTTTACTGTCTTCACTATGAATTCTAAAAGACTGATTTTAACAATGTACCTATTTATTTCTTTAGATTTTTTTGTGATAACTTTTTCAGTTTTAAAAGCCAAATTTAAAACATTTTTTAGAATATTTATTCTTCTTTGAAATAACATTTGACCATTCGTGATAACTTACAGGAGTCGATGAACTCAGTGTAATTATTTTATAAAATTATATACACCTGGCACAAGCTATAACACAAGACTGGTTTTTATTTTATAACAAATTGTAAATTTAAACTTGTTCATTGTATGCCATTAAATGACTTTTGTTATTATTATACTCTGTAAGATATGAGTAGATTATCATACATGGAAGAATTTCTTTTTAACTTGTGTTGTTTTATTAAATGGCTGCATCTTTTTTGTAATTGTATCCACCTATTTTGTTAGAAAAAAACATTTACTTGTCCCAGTTATAAATATGGCCTTGAAACTAGTGTTACCTGGCAAATTTTTATTTTGTATAGTTTGATAATATAGGCCCACCATACATGCCTTCTATATTTACCCACCTTATAAGCCCACTCTACTGGCCCACCCTTTAGGCCCACTAAGTAATTCCAATACACAGACTCTCCATAAACGTTTTTCTTGTATTAAACATTTATTAAGATCTGCTTATGTTTAATTGATTGGTTAAACAATGTCGTATCACTTGAAAACTTTTCAAAAGATTAGTATTTATACATTTTTTAAAAATACATGTCATACTCTCAATGCTTTGTGTTTAACATTTTGAATGTGGAAAGTAAAACTATAATTTTATGCTGGAAAACATAACCACACTGTTCCCATCAAACCTCGTCACTTTTTAAAAACTCTGAACTTGTTTTTTGCTCATATATGATGTAGCACTGCCATTTATTGAAAACTTTTGTTTCAGGTTTGTAAAGGATAGCTTAGATCAGACATGAGGAAATACTTACTATATAGTTTGTGTGGATCCTAGCCAAAATTGTTCTTTTATGTTGGTTTGTTCAACCATGTCCAATTCTTTGACTGACGATTGAAATATTGTGTAACACTTGATTGATGATTGAAGTAATGTGTTGGTTTATTCAACCATGTCCAATTCTTTGACTGACGATTGAAATATTGTGTAACACTTGACTGATGATTGAAGTAATGTGTTGGTTTATTCAACCATGTCCAATTCTTTGACTGACGATTGAAATATTGTGTAACATTTGATTGATGATTGAAGTAATGTGTTGGTTTATTCAACCATGTCCAATTCTTTGACTGACGATTGAAATATTGTGTAACACTTGACTGATGATTGAAGTAATGTGTTGGTTTATTCAACCATGTCCAATTCTTTGACTGACGATTGAAATATTGTGTAACACTTGATTGATGATTGAAGTAATGTGTTGGTTTATTCAACCATGTCCAATTCTTTGACTGACGATTGAAATATTGTGTAACACTTGACTGATGATTGAAGTAATGTGTTGGTTTATTCAACCATGTCCAATTCTTTGACTGACGATTGAAATATTGTGTAACACTTGATTGATGATTGAAGTAATGTGTTGGTTTATTCAACCATGTCCAATTCTTTGACTGACGATTGAAATATTGTGTAACACTTGATTGATGATTGAAGTATTGTGTAACACTTGACTGATGATTGAAGTAATGTGTTGGTTTATTCAATCATGTCCAATTCTTTGACTGACGATTGAAATATTGTGTAACACTTGACTGATGATTGAAGTAATGTGTTGGTTTATTCAATCATGTCCAATTCTTTGATGATTGAAATATTGTGTAACACTTGACTGATGATTGTAGTAATGTGTGGCTCTTGGCAAATGATTGTATGATAGTGAGATGTTTAAAAAACAATGATTAGTTTTTAATACCAGAGTGACATCCCCTGATAATCTTTTGACTTTCTCTGCGGTGGTCATCTGCATATGACCACTGTAAATCGTTTTCTTAAGGGGGTCGTCGGTAAACAGAGTTTCTTCCAGGCATCTCTTCGGGGGGGCGAAGCCCCCTCGAAAAATTTTTACCGCCCCCCCCCCCGAACAAAATGAAATTTATATAATTTATATAGAAAATATATACTTTTAACAGTGTCCGCCCCCCCGAAGAAAGTTTACCGCCCCCCCCGAAGATTTCAAGTGCCCCCCCCCCCGGAGAAAAAAGTCTGGAAGAAACACTGTCGGTAAATGAGGTCACACTTTTACAACTGTTTTTACCCACGGTCACATCACAAAAAACCAGACCCCCCTTGTCCTATGATGACGTCATACATCAGCCTACAACCGCCCTCAAAATTGCCCCCCCCCCCCCCAAAAAAAAAAAAAAACAACTAAAAACCCAAAGATTTCTTACTAAAATATTGTCTGAGCTTGGTCAACATAGAAAATATATTAATCCATTTTCTAAAACACGAACGGCTAAAATCCACTTTCTAACATTACTCTTTTAAAATGCAAAAGTGTGACGTAACACTTACTGAACCTCCCCCCCCTCCCCCTTCATCACATATCGTCAAAAAATTACGAATTCCCCCGCCACGTAGGAGTGTGAATTGTTTTATCGACGATCCCGTATCAAGATGAAGGGTAGATAATTTATTTATATTTTAAATGAATTGTTTTAAACAGATAATTAAATGAAATTAAAAAGATCATGAGTTGGAGTTTGGCTTGTTTCTGTGTACACCCACCCTCGTGATCAGAAAAGCTTCAGGATTGTATAGGGTCCATCTGATGACATGTGCAGGATTGTGTAGGGTCTATCTGACGTGCAGGATTGTGTAGGGTCCATGTGACGACGTGCAGGATTGTGTAGGGTCCATGTGACGACGTGCAGGATTGTGTAGGGTCCATGTGACGACGTGCAGGATTGTGTAGGGTCCATGTGCAGGATTGTGTAGGGTCCATCTGACATGTGCAGGATTGTGTAGGGTCCATGTGACGACATGTGCAGGATTGTGTAGGGTCCATGTGCAGGATTGTGTAGGGTCCATCTGACATGTGCAGGATTGTGTAGGGTCCATGTGACATGTGCAGGATTGTGTAGGGTCCATGTGACATGTGCAGGATTGTGTAGGGTCCATCTGACATGTGCAGGATTGTGTAGGGTCCATCTGACGACATGTGCAGGATTGTGTAGGGGCCATTTGACGACATGTGCAGGATTGTGTAGGGTCCATGTGCAGGATTGTGTAGGGTCCATGTGCAGGATTGTGTAGGGTCCATCTGACATGTGCAGGATTGTGTAGGGTCCATGTGCAGGATTGTGTAGGGTCCATCTGACATGTGCAGGATTGTGTAGGGTCCATGTGACATGTGCAGGATTGTGTAGGGTCCATCTGATATGTGCAGGATTGTGTAGGGTCCATGTGCAGGATTGTGTAGGGTCCATGTGACGACATGTGCAGGATTGTGTAGGGTCCATGTGCAGGATTGTGTAGTGTACAATCGACATGTGCAGGATTGTGTAGTGTACATTAGACATGTGCAGGATTGTGTAGGGGACATGTGCAGGATTGTGTAGGGTCCATGTGCAGGATTGTGTAGTGTACAATCGACATGTGCAGGATTGTGTAGTGTACATTAGACATGTGCAGGATTGTGTAGGGGACATGTGCAGGATTGTGTAGGGTCCATGTGACATGTGCAGGATTGTGTAGGGTCCATGTGACGACATGTGCAGGATTGTGTAGGGTCCATGTGACATGTGCAGGATTGTGTAGGGTCCATGTGACGTGCAGGATTGTGTAGGGTCCATATGACATGTGCAGGATTGTGTAGGGTCCATGTGACGACATGTGCAGGATTGTATAGGGTCCATCTGACATGTGCAGGATTGTGTAGGGTCCATGTGCAGGATTGTGTAGGGTCCATCTGACGACATGTGCACGATTGTGTAGGGTCCATCTGACATGTGCAGGATTGTGTAGGGGCCATGTGACGACATGTGCAGGATTGTGTAGGGTCCATCTGACATGTGCAGGATTGTATAGGGTCCATCTGACATGTGCAGGATTGTGTAGGGTCCATGTGACGACATGTGCAGGATTGTGTAGGGTCCATGTGACATGTGCAGGATTGTGTAGGGTCCATGTGACGACATGTGCAGGATTGTGTAGGGTCCATGTGACGACATGTGCAGGATTGTGTAGCGTCAATGTGACATGTGCAGGATTGTGTAGGGTCCATGTGACATGTGCAGGATTGTGTAGGGTCCATGTGACGACATGTGCAGGATTGTGTAGGGTCCATGTGCAGGATTGTGTAGGGTCCATGTGCAGGATTGTGTAGGGTCCATGTGACATGTGCAGGATTGTGTAGGGTCCATGTGCAGGATTGTGTAGGGTCCATCTGACATGTGCAGGAT